ACCCCGCATAGGGACAATGACAGGATTCTACCCCTTCCCCACTCTAACAAAAGAATGATTTGTATTGCTGTTTTTGTCCAAATGAATAGATATGGTACACTCCCTGCCACTGTGACCACATAGGAAGTGAGGAGAAATCTCCCCAATGAATACAGAAAGATGCAAAAAAAAACTGAGAGGTTCTAACTGCTCCCACAATCATAAAAACAAAAGCAAAATATTGGATAGACATTCATTTTAGGCAATTAGCAGGAAAACAATTTGTACCTATGAACTGAACCACGAATTTAGCATTCCATTTAATGCAAAGAACAATCAACGATCAGCCCAGTATTCTATGAAGTGAGACTGTATTTTACCATTTGAGCCGTTTAATGGGATAGAATTCACTCTTTTATGTGACATGATCAAAAAACCTATTTGATGTGACGGTACAAATTAAATGGAGATATTTGCAATTCTTTAATTGGCTGAGAAAATGCTGATTTGAAGGTTTATCTCTCTAAATTCTGAAAGCGTCTATCCCTGACTGAGAACTGTACCAGACATACGGGTTATCACTTGCAGGCTTTTAATTTACAAAATGATGTTAGATTGTAAATTGGATTTTTATTATAAATGTTTACCCTCCAGGTAAGACTATGGAAAAGGTTTACAAGAAGAAGTCTGAGATTTATTCCTCTTATATGTTCCAGATGGAGACAATGTTGATAATTTAAATGTGCAGTACAATAAATCTAAACAGTATTTACAATTTTCTGCCATAGGCTATTTTTCAACTAGACATTTTTTGTGAAAAATAGAATGTGTCATTAATCATAGAGAACCGCTACCAATATTATTTTAATGACGAAAGTATTTGATAAACATGTCAGTATTTGGATATTTCTTTGCGATCAAGAGCTAATTTTTCTAAGACCATGTGAGTATAACAGCAGATGTGTTTAGATTGCAAAGATCAACAATGCCTAACCAAGTGTGACACAGAAAAAAAATTCCATTGTTGCTGTATATGCTTTAATAAGCGACAGCACAATACCTCTTATTTTATGATCAGCAAAATTACAGGCTTCAAAACAAGTCATAGTTTAAGGCATGCAAATTTCTCAGAACAAGTTTACACCTAGTAATTTTTTTCTGAGCTATTTCACTAGCAGCACATTGTAACTAGCGTAATAATGACAAATAACAAAGCATTTTTGATTTAACTACCAGAATAATAATAATAATAGTGAAAACACAGTTTTATTCTACACCAGTACTGCAGCCAACACACTGTACCAGCTCGGCCTGCTTCTGACAGCTGGGTGGAGCCAGCCCTGATCTTACGGCTGGCTCCGGCCACTTGCAGTGAGATCAGCGTCCCTGGTTACCTGCTAACCAGGGACACTGATCTCCAAACAGCAAACTCTCCCTGGCGCCCCGGGAGTCTCCTGCTCCCGGCCGCCAAGGAGAGAAACACAGCTGTGTCCTTTTTTCTTTATTCTGACACGATCGATGTCAGAATAGAGAAAAAAAAAAGATTTTTTTCCCATTGAAAAGCATTGGGACATTACTATTGGCTATTTCAATTTGCAATAGCCAATAGTAAACTAGCATTGTTCCCGCCCTCTGCTGCAGTTCCCCATCAGGTCCATCAGCAGAGGGCGGGAACAATGCTAGTTTACTATTGGCTATTGCAAATTGAAATAGCCAATAGTAATGTCACAATGCTTTTCAATGGGAAAATTTCATTTTTTTTTTCTATTCTGACATCGATCGTGTCAGAATAAAGAAAAAAGGACACTTCAGTGCTTCTCTCCTTGGCGGCCGGGAGTGGGAGACTCCCAGAGCGCCCGGGAGAGTTTTGTTTTTTTTTTTGTTTTTTTTACAGCAGCAGAGCCGCCGGACAATAGGAAACTATTGGGCGGAGCTAGCTGTCACTGCTAGCTC